GCCTGCCTGCCTGCCTGCCTGCCTGCCTGCCTGCCTGCCTGCCTGCCTGCCTGCCTGCCTGCCTGCCTGCCTGCCTGCCTGCCTGCCTGCCTGCCTGCCTGCCTGCCTGCCTGCCTGCCTGCCTGCCTGCCTGCCTGCCTGCCTGCCTGCCTGCCTGCCTGCCTGCCTGCCTGCCTGCCTGCCTGCCTGCCTGCCTGCCTGCCTGCCTGCCTGCCTGCCTGCCTGCCTGCCTGCCTGCCTGCCTGCCTGCCTGCCTGCCTGCCTGCCTGCCTGCCTGCCTGCCTGCCTGCCTGCCTGCCTGCCTGCCTGCCTGCCTGCCTGCCTGCCTGCCTGCCTGCCTGCCTGCCTGCCTGCCTGCCTGCCTGCCTGCCTGCCTGCCTGCCTGCCTGCCTGCCTGCCTGCCTGCCTGCCTGCCTGCCTGCCTGCCTGCCTGCCTGCCTGCCTGCCTGCCTGCCTGCCTGCCTGCCTGCCTGCCTGCCTGCCTGCCTGCCTGCCTGCCTGCCTGCCTGCCTGCCTGCCTGCCTGCCTGCCTGCCTGCCTGCCTGCCTGCCTGCCTGCCTGCCTGCCTGCCTGCCTGCCTGCCTGCCTGCCTGCCTGCCTGCCTGCCTGCCTGCCTGCCTGCCTGCCTGCCTGCCTGCCTGCCTGCCTGCCTGCCTGCCTGCCTGCCTGCCTGCCTGCCTGCCTGCCTGCCTGCCTGCCTGCCTGCCTGCCTGCCTGCCTGCCTGCCTGCCTGCCTGCCTGCCTGCCTGCCTGCCTGCCTGCCTGCCTGCCTGCCTGCCTGCCTGCCTGCCTGCCTGCCTGCCTGCCTGCCTGCCTGCCTGCCTGCCTGCCTGCCTGCCTGCCTGCCTGCCTGCCTGCCTGCCTGCCTGCCTGCCTGCCTGCCTGCCTGCCTGCCTGCCTGCCTGCCTGCCTGCCTGCCTGCCTGCCTGCCTGCCTGCCTGCCTGCCTGCCTGCCTGCCTGCCTGCCTGCCTGCCTGCCTGCCTGCCTGCCTGCCTGCCTGCCTGCCTGCCTGCCTGCCTGCCTGCCTGCCTGCCTGCCTGCCTGCCTGCCTGCCTGCCTGCCTGCCTGCCTGCCTGCCTGCCTGCCTGCCTGCCTGCCTGCCTGCCTGCCTGCCTGCCTGCCTGCCTGCCTGCCTGCCTGCCTGCCTGCCTGCCTGCCTGCCTGCCTGCCTGCCTGCCTGCCTGCCTGCCTGCCTGCCTGCCTGCCTGCCTGCCTGCCTGCCTGCCTGCCTGCCTGCCTGCCTGCCTGCCTGCCTGCCTGCCTGCCTGCCTGCCTGCCTGCCTGCCTGCCTGCCTGCCTGCCTGCCTGCCTGCCTGCCTGCCTGCCTGCCTGCCTGCCTGCCTGCCTGCCTGCCTGCCTGCCTGCCTGCCTGCCTGCCTGCCTGCCTGCCTGCCTGCCTGCCTGCCTGCCTGCCTGCCTGCCTGCCTGCCTGCCTGCCTGCCTGCCTGCCTGCCTGCCTGCCTGCCTGCCTGCCTGCCTGCCTGCCTGCCTGCCTGCCTGCCTGCCTGCCTGCCTGCCTGCCTGCCTGCCTGCCTGCCTGCCTGCCTGCCTGCCTGCCTGCCTGCCTGCCTGCCTGCCTGCCTGCCTGCCTGCCTGCCTGCCTGCCTGCCTGCCTGCCTGCCTGCCTGCCTGCCTGCCTGCCTGCCTGCCTGCCTGCCTGCCTGCCTGCCTGCCTGCCTGCCTGCCTGCCTGCCTGCCTGCCTGCCTGCCTGCCTGCCTGCCTGCCTGCCTGCCTGCCTGCCTGCCTGCCTGCCTGCCTGCCTGCCTGCCTGCCTGCCTGCCTGCCTGCCTGCCTGCCTGCCTGCCTGCCTGCCTGCCTGCCTGCCTGCCTGCCTGCCTGCCTGCCTGCCTGCCTGCCTGCCTGCCTGCCTGCCTGCCTGCCTGCCTGCCTGCCTGCCTGCCTGCCTGCCTGCCTGCCTGCCTGCCTGCCTGCCTGCCTGCCTGCCTGCCTGCCTGCCTGCCTGCCTGCCTGCCTGCCTGCCTGCCTGCCTGCCTGCCTGCCTGCCTGCCTGCCTGCCTGCCTGCCTGCCTGCCTGCCTGCCTGCCTGCCTGCCTGCCTGCCTGCCTGCCTGCCTGCCTGCCTGCCTGCCTGCCTGCCTGCCTGCCTGCCTGCCTGCCTGCCTGCCTGCCTGCCTGCCTGCCTGCCTGCCTGCCTGCCTGCCTGCCTGCCTGCCTGCCTGCCTGCCTGCCTGCCTGCCTGCCTGCCTGCCTGCCTGCCTGCCTGCCTGCCTGCCTGCCTGCCTGCCTGCCTGCCTGCCTGCCTGCCTGCCTGCCTGCCTGCCTGCCTGCCTGCCTGCCTGCCTGCCTGCCTGCCTCCCTGCCTGCCTGCTTGCCTGCCTCCCTGCCTCCCTGCCTCCCTGCCTCCCTGCCTCCCTGCCTCCCTGCCTCCCTGCCTACCTACCAGTTCAGGTCAATATGGGTAATTTTGATAATTTTACACATTTTTCATAATATTTGAACTAAAATTTCACTAATAAAATTTTAGTTGTACTCATACTAATAGAGGAAAATTTAACTCAATCGAGTGTGGACAGAAATTGTGAAAATAAGTCCAATTTTTTAGAAAGTTTTCGAAAATGATAGTAAAAAAACAAATGAAGTTCAAACAAAATGGCCGCGGATGTTAACTTTGTTAATTTAAATGGAACACACTGTATATTTTTACATATTTGGATAGAATGTTCCCTGTCGAGCATGATCATATATGTAAGGTTTTTTGAGTCCACCTCTAATAATAATAAGTGAGATAGTATTAAAAAACGAAAAGAAGATTTTTTTCTTAAGAAAATAAGACATTTTGTAATTGTTAGACCTCTTTAAGACATTTCTGCCTTCTTTCCAATAATTACTGATTTAGTTGTAATATTTTGACATATCGGTCATTGATATGGTCAAAAATGCATATAGGTATTTTAACTAAATCTTTTCGTTTTTTAATATTATCTCGTTTATTGTTAGAGGTGGACCCAACAAACCCTATATGACTATACTAGACAAGGAACGTTATATCCAAATTTGTAAAAATATACAGGATGTTTCGTTTAAATTAACAAAGTTAACATCCGCGGTCATTTTGTTTGGACTTCATTTGTTTTTCTACTATCATTTTCGAAAACTTCATAAAAAATAGTGCAACTTTTGTATTTTACATTTTATTATAACTCTTAAAACAAGAAAATTTAAGGGAGAGTCAAAATATAGTGAATCACCCTGTACCTACTTTATTTAATTGACTTTGAAGGGGTATACACTCATATACAGTCATCAACATTCGAAATCTAAGAAAGTATCTTTAAATCATCAGTGTGCTTCCAGTCATGGAAAAATCACTGTCAAGGTTATATACAGGGTGATTCACAACTTATCCGAAAAAATTTGAAAATAGATGTGTCATGAAAAATGGAGTCAATAGAGTAAAAAAAATTGTAAAATTGTTGTAGTTTCCGAGAAAAAAATTATTACAGTTGTAGTATTTAAAACCCTTACATCACTGGGCTACTGTAGTCTCTAGCGTCATTCGCGTTGTGCGCTGAACGCAATTCGCTCTCTCTCTCTCTCCACGTGGCCCCAGGCGATCCCGAATACTTGAAATCCAATTTTAGTAGGTATTACATACATTATTTTTCCACGTGTCAAAAATGGCTTACGTGTATAGCAACTCGGAGTTGATGGATATCGTTTTAATTTATGGTGAAGCTAGACAACATTTGTGTTACAGTGAAATTTTCGTTATGGTGAAGCAAGACAACATTTGTGTTATGGTGAAACGAGACAACATTTGTGTTAGTTCGTAGAAACTGAGTAAGACGGGCCCAAATGTGATTACACGTCGGTGGACAAAATTTTTAACAGTTGTTGTAACATCAGGTATGTCAAATTATTTTATTAATTCAAACCACAAATTAATTTTATTAATTAATAATAATAATAGCGGCAAAAGCAGTTGAATNTGTAACATCAGGTATGTCAAATTATTTTATTAATTCAAGCCACAAATTAATTTTATTAATTAATAAAAACAATAGCGCCAAAAGCAGTTGAATTTGCTGATATAAAATAGGTAAATAATTGTATTTATTTCTTTCTTTAGAAAAGAAATTCTTTCAATTGTTTGTCCGTTCAATTTTTATTACACTTTGCTGTTGTGCCGGTCTACGACTGCCATGACTTGTGCAAGGTCAGGTTTTACAGTGGACCAGTTTCCAGTGTCGTGCAGAAGTGTATTTTTAAATAATTTCTGAACTGATAATTTTTTATTTCTATTTTACAAAATTATATTTGTAAGAGTACATTGTACATAAAAAAAAATTGTTTCGGATAAGTTCTGAATTACCTTGTAGAAGCTAGAACAAACCTATAATTATAATATTTTTTGGGTAGGACTTCGAGCAGTATTTTTAATGTAAAAAAAAACAATCTAATAGAATGTAATGACAGGCTTATTGACTAAAAATTATAAGTGTTTTTATTTTTTGAAAAAAAAAAACTTTTCTGTTTACTATTTTTTTTTTCTTAAAAAAGATAATAACTCTAGACATTTCTACGGTTAGAATATATCAGATGACCCCGTACTGCATGTTCATAGTAATAAAAGTGCAATATTACAAAACAAAATAGGGAAGCTATTACCAAAAAAGAAGTGTAAACTTCATTTGGTGGCTGTACTTACGATTATCTTGTTAAACATACATATCTGTTTTTTATGAAATTAAGTCTGTTTAAACAAAGCACTACGAAATGTAAACTGACAAAAATACGTAGTAAAAAAACAGCGACTTTAGCTTAGGTGTTAACAAAGACGAAACGTGAACTCGATAAAAATGTTCGTTTTAGAGAAACCCATTGTCTAAAGATGTAAGCATAAATTCTTATTGTAAATATACGTTTTAAGTAGCTAAATAAATGTGAAAAATATTCGTTCTTATTATCATTAAATAAACATGACTGTAAAATATTTTACCTGTGGAAATAATAGATAATTTTATCTTTAATAGAGTTTAGTAGTACCACAGTTGCATTTAAACTAGCAACGGCGTTTACTCAAAGCCAGGGAATAGTGTAGGATGGATTAATTTAAAGGCCAAGAAAAGCAAGTTGATGGGAATACCCATAATATATCAAGTAGTACCAAGATGTAAATAGTTAAGGTAAGTTTTATTAAAATAATAATTCCTATTGTGTATTAAAAAGTGTTTGTCTCATTTTAAGGACATTTCCAAAATTTAGGAATGCCAAGAATTAAAAAGGAAATTTATCTCAATTTAAGAACATGTACTTCCAATAGTACTTGTTATTGAAATATATGATGTATAAGTTTTTAGTTAAACAGTTCTATATCTTAATATATGAAGATACTAAAATGAAATTTTGTATGAACAAACGACGACTAAAATGGCATTTGAAGTGAAAAAAATTAACATTAACGATTGTAGATATGAGATACTTTGATTACGATTTTCATGGTAATTATTGCATGCCATTGGAAAAAGCATTTATTTTTTATTTCTGAAATGCAAATTATGTTTTGAAGAAGTCTCGATATTTTTAAAGTCAACTTATAGTTTTCCAAATTTTAAAATCATTAAATTAGCCAATAATTTTATTCCATAAAAAGAAGTAGCTATATATTACTCGTAATTGTGAAAATGACTATATTATTATGAATAATAAAAAAATATATAATCTCATTTTGCGTAAATAGATTTTAAGACCAAGTGTCATTATGATTAACAATTCATACATTTTTGCTGAGAATATGCGTCAATCATATTTGAAATTTAAAATCAACTCTCTCCCTCTCTCTCTCTCTATAATAGGTTAGTCTATGAGATCGATCTTGGCAAACGCAATTTTTGTTTTAACTTCAATTTCATGACCTATTGTGTTCAAAATACCTTGCCAAAAATTAAAAAAAACTCTAACTCTAACTCAACGCATACTTCTAAAATAGACGTATAAGCGCAAAATAGAATACATTGTAACATTATAAGAATTTTGTTCATAAAATGTTGTTTCCTTCGAAACATAAGAAAAAAATATATTATTCTATACATAATTTAATAGAAGTTTCAGCGTAATAATCATGATGATGTTGATAATGACTAATATCATAAATACCTCTGTCTTAAATAATTAATAGGTATCTAAAACGCTGGTAGATAAGTTACTAATAACATTAACAAAAATATGTCAATGTAGGTACATTAACTACTAATTTAGAATTGTTAATTAATTATAAACGAAAAGGACAAAATGTAATTTATACAAAATAATAATTGAAATGAACATCATTTATCTACAGATTATTCCAATTTGTAAATGATAGGTTCTCCCATTATTGAAAAGAGTACAATGAAGTACGTCTAGTGATTCGAGTGATAATGATAAATACAAAGGCTGGTTGCAATTCAGTACACATAATCTTGAAATTGTGGATGATTGATCAGGAAAACCTTTTTAAAGTGTAACGTACGTTGTCTTTGTCACATGCTGTGTTTTATGCATCTTGCATGAGGTGTTCAGAATGCAACTGCTTACTATAAGTTTATTATTATAGTACAGGGTGAACTTAACCAATATGTACCTTCTGCTTGGTAGATAATAGTTGTAAATAGACTATGGCAATATTGGCGTTAAGCACGTCTTTAAACTAATGCTTATAAATAATATTATTATTATAAATTACATCAAATACATGAAATTACACCAAAAGTTCAAATGAGTGTTAGTATATGATGAAATTATCATTCGCTTTTGAATTTTGGACAGCAAAATATAATAGATCCTTCATCCCTACTTTATTGAAATAGTAAAAATAGGTTAAAGTTAAGTAAAAATGAAAATATAATCAAAGGTACACTTTTATTGGATTATTTTTTACTGAAATTCAGTATTAACAAATACCTAATTAATTCCATACCTAAACATACTTATCTTCTATCTAAATTTAGTATGTTATAATTCTCAGACGTATTGTTGTTTTCTCATTTTATAAACATATGATTCTAAATTGTAAGAGCAACTATTATTTATTTTATTAATTTACACAGATCTAAAAATTTCTTTGTTCCAGGTTATATTCACTTGAAATGTGAAAACATTTGGTCACATATTTAAGCATCACCAATAAGTAATACTATTATCAGGGCAACATCGGTACGTCACATCAATTTATCTAATCTAAGGATTAAAAAATCAATATCTCTTTCTAATTATGAAGGATTCAAGCATTCACCATAATGTAGGTAAACTAGGTATATTTATATTAGTGGGATAAAAAATAGTGTTGATTTTTAGAATGGGTTTTGAACTGCTGCTTCTTTGTGCTCTTATCTTCATTTTTATTGTGTCGTTTTGTGGATTACTTCAAAAAATTAAGCAATCTTATGATCGAGAGAGGATGATAGCAGGTAAGTTGTGACATCCAACTTATCTACTACGACTGTTATGTTTTACTTAAAATGTTTAATTTGGGAAATAAAATGCTACTCTTCTGTATGGCAAAGCCTTACAATTAGTACTACTGCTTTTTCTCCAGCAGATATAGTGTGTTTTCAGTACGAGTATGTTTTGATTAATTTGTTTTGATTCTACACCTACGCCTAGATAGGTACACACGATATTTAATGAGCTCCAGTCTCGTTACAACTGCGCAAATTGAAAACGGAACAATTCTTGCATTTGAGTAAGCTTTTAGTACAAATACTTTTTTAACGTAGTCCTGTGTTCTGTAATATCGCATATACAAGGTGCAACAAAAATAAGGTTACAAACCTCGCCAGCAAATAGAACTCTTAGTAGGGATACTTCATATAAAATTTTTGTGTAAAGTGGTTCCTTGGTGAGATACAGGGTGTTGAAGTTGAAAAATTAAATAACATTTTCTTTAATATCTTTCGACTACTTCGAGCTAATTACGTGAAATTTCGTATCCACCAAATTTGTTTCTCAACAGTCAGTCATTCGTGGATTTTCTGAACCCTAAATGTAACAATTTTGTTGACTAATCAAGATGAAAATGAGCCTCATCGCTGAAGACGATTTTTTTCGAAAAATCAGCATCCACTTGTTCCATAAGTCATTCAACGAACTTTCTTCGCTCTGCGTGGTCAGTAGACTTTAGTTAATGAATCAACCAAATTTTGTAATAATAAAGATTCCAATCTTTCGTAAGAATACGCTATAGAGAGCTTCTCGAATGTCCAATTCTTGACCGCAGTACGGAATTGATGTTCCTGGACTTTCAGTAACTTGAATTACTTGTTGAAGGACGGCCAGAGTGTTTAAGATCACTAATTGATCTAGCCTCCCTGAATTTTTCAGTTAATCACTTCACAGTTGTTGAAGTTAAATCACTATTCCGACCATATTTTGTAAGAAAATTGCAAACTGTAGCTGCCAAACCTGCAAAACAATGAAAACGCGTTTTTCTGTCGAGTAGTGCTCCATTTTCAATAACCTGAACTGTCAGTTGTCAGGCAACACAAATGGTGCAAAATTCAAATCTTGATTGAATTTTAGGAGACCCGATACATCAATCATGGATTTGTTCGGTATAATAGAAAGATTTAAAATCCCGTATTTGAGAATCCCATTAATACTTTTTGACATACGTGAACGTTATTTAACTACAAAAATATATTACGTTAACTTCAATAATGTTCTTAACGTAACGTTATGAAAGTTGTTAACGACTGAATTTTTTTTAGTAAAATTTTGTTTACCCGTCACAAAAATGTCAATGTAGCGGTTTGCTAAGTTCTAACGGTGAATTTTAAGTAAATTCCATAAGCTCGTAAGTACATATTATTAATAATTTTTAGAGTAAACTTCTTTTGATGTACAATTCAATCAGTGAATTTTGTCCAGAGGCCAGACAAACTCGTTCAGTGTCGTTCTTTACCACGTATGCATTAAGCTAACGAATTAATTCGATTATTAAACTAACTATATTGCGGGAAACTCCTCTGAGGACTAATAATAACACAGGCCAACAAGGAAAAAGTTCCAGAGATCAGACACTACGTTTCCGAAGGCATTTGGCGCGCTGAATCCGAATCTGGCCTCAGAATTGATCCATCACCCTAGGTTTCCGAGATATTCTAACCCAAAAGTGCAAAAAACACGTATTTTTGCTATTTTCAAGGTTATGTAACTTGGCGAAAAAATTTTTTTTCTCAAAACTGAAAATATCATTGGAAACTACTATCTTTCCCCTTCAAAACGCATTTTTTTATTTGTAAAAAGCTTTATTTTTCGCGGAGATATCGTCGATTAAAGATGATCAGTATAGCTTCCTTATTAAACCATGGCTATAACACAATATCACTAAGCGCTACGAGCCTTAGAGGGCTCGCAGCGCTTAGTGTTATTGGGTAATAGGGCTTGAAGTTAACCTTCCTGACGATTAGGGCTCACAGCGCTTAGTGTTGTGGGGTTATAGGGCTTGGGATTAACCTTCCAGACATATAGGGCTTGGGGTTAACCTTCCTGACGATTAGGGCTCGCAGCGCTTAGTGTTATTGGGTTATAGGGCTTGAAGTTAACCTTCCTGACGATGAGGGCTCGCTCCGCTTAGTGTTGTGGGGTTATAGGGCTTGGGGTTAACGTTCCTAACAATTAGGGCTAGCAGCGCTCAGTGTTATGGGGTTAGCCATGATGTAATAATATAGCCATACTGGTCATCTTAAATTGACGATATCTCCGCGAAAAATAGAGCTTTTTCCAAATAAAAAAATGCGTTTTGAAGGGGAAAGATAGTCGTTTCCAATGATGTTTTCAGTTTTGAGAAAAAAATTTTTTTCGCCAAGTTACATAACCTTGAATATAGCAAAAGTACGTGTTTTTTGCACTTTTAGGTTAGAATATCTCGGAAACCTAGGGTGAGGGATCAATTCTGAGGCCAGATTCGGATTCAGCGCGCCAAATGCCTTCGGAAGCGTAGTGTCTGATCTCTGGAATTTTTTTTTTTTTGAAATTTTGTCGGCCTGTGTAATTATACCAGTGATAAGTGGTAAACAGCTAGGATCACCTCTCATCAATCGATTCCTCCTACTGGTTTCGGACTTGTTACTCACCTGTATGCTCTATGTTGTCAAGGGACAACCGTTGAATGACCTGACTATTTTTGATGTCTTCAATATAAGTGAGATGTAATAAAATAGCTGCATCTATACCCTATATATCACTGCTACTTCATGCCAAACAGAGAGACAGGAACAATTATTCTGTGGAATAATATTTTGATAAGCATTGAATTGTAAAATAAATAAAAATTGTGAAATAGGATGTAAACAGTTAAGGTTACCAGTTAAACCACCATATACAAGTCTCGAACTAGTTTTCATCGGTATGTCACAGATGGAACAGCCGACGAATTATCGAGCTATTTTTGGAGTCTTAGACATGAAGTGAGTGATAGGTGAGATGTAACAACGCTACATCTATGAATGCTACTCTGCTGCTCAATGTTTAGAGTTCCAAATGACAAAGCTGATAGAAGACAGACCTATTTCACAGAGACGACCATTAGACGAAACAATTTTTAAATCTGGAAAACAGCAGAGAGTGAGTCGAAACCACCAGACATATACCGGTTTCCAACTTATTTGTTTCTCATCAGCATGATGTCGAATGATTCAAGCTATTCGTAATGTCTTAACTGCAAACATGGAGTGGAGCTCAATTCATTAGATATGCCTCGTTTGCTATAATTTGCTATTATTAATTGGCTACATTCACCCGACAGAATCGATGAATTAATGCTAATTCATCGGTAACATGTCGATGACCATTTTTGATGAGTTTTTCTGTATGCACATTTTTCTCACTTCTTTGTTTGTTGAGATTTACAACTTTGATTTTTCTCAACTTTGTAAAGATACAATAATACAATGAGAAAAAATAGCCTTCGATTACGCCATCCCTTGATTACTTATCGTGATTTACAGGTGTGTTCATGAAACGATTACTCATGGAAATGTCATCGATGTGATTTTCTTGATTTGGTTTTACAAGCGTCAATATTGTTTGAGCCCGTTATAGTTTAGTTTAGTATTAATGAAAACGTATTTACGAAGAACCGACCTTCTCATAGAGAACAATAATTTTAACAATTAGTTTTACTCAGACATGCGATTTTAACGAAATTATTGTGATTTAGTCTATACAAAGAACCGATTAAGATAAACAACTGTGTTTACAATAAAGATTAAGGACAATGTCATTTATTGTATGCCGAATTATTTTCCTGCTAAAATGATAATTTGTAGTACATGTTAAAACATGCTTGAAGATAAAATTTGGTTGTGTTATATTTTAAGTGGAATTTCGTTAACGTTACACTAATTAATATGTAACTTGCTTGGAACGAACAAGTACATACATTGTACCTCTGTCATACTGAAGTAAGTGATATATTTTTCTAACAAAAAATTACTCACAATTTATTACATTATTTTAGAGATAGCACACTGTCTAAAAATATTATCTAAAAATGAGTACTTACTTATGGTATTGTTCCATAGATTTACATAGATATTTGTTGTTTGTTAATTGTAGAAAGATTTGACTTTAATATATTTTCAAATTAAAGCTTAATATGATGAGCAACATATATTCAGTGACAATAAATATACAGGGTGTCCGGAATTGATGAGCAAAAAATTCAGGGGATAATTCTAGACCGAAAATAAATGCTACCTCTTTCTATAACATTTTTTTCCAAAACTGATTATTAACGTGTTTGTTAAATTTTATTTGCAGTTTTTTTTTGCAATACTTTTTGCCACACTCATAATATTTTGACGAAATTTCGTATATGGGGTTTTTTCGGGATGAGGATTATAAATTTGCCCACCGTTTTTTCGCATTTTGTAGAGGGCGCCACATACGAGCATTTATTTTGATTTGAATGGTTCCAACTTTTTTGTGCTACACTTTATGCGACTTTTGACTGAATATTTTTGTTCTCCTAACCTTTTGACATCAAAAAGGTATACTTTATTTGTTTCGATAAATCTAACCGTTTTCGAGAAAAACGCTAAAATAACATTGCTTGCATGTGATGAACACGAAATCATTTTAATTTATTTTCTACATTATACATAGCATGCTTTGGAAACAAGCGCTCAGTTGCCTTGGAAACAAGTTTGTGGAGAATTAGTTTTGACAGACAGTAATTTTTGTGAAACACCCTGTATAGGTCTTTCCTAAGTATTTCGTAACATATGTCGTCTTGAAATGTTTCGTTTCCGAGGTGGATTCAGAGCTTTCATAGATAATTACAAACCACGTGACTGTCGAGCATAGGCAACCAACAATACAGGATTGGTACACTATCTATTACATCTCAATGGAGTGGTTGCCACTCGTCGATTTACAACTCTTGACGTTTCGCGAGACATACCGC